TGAGCTGATCGATCAATTCTAACTACATATCATGCCATCAATTTTGTCCCTTGATGTATATTTCTTTGGGGTAGTTTTCTTGCGCTACTATCTGGATGTTCGTCCGTTGTATTAGGAATACCATTTAAACACAAAGTCTGATGGATTGGGAAAACTGTATTTGTTTAACAACGGAAGATCGTGCCAAATTATAGACATTAACTTGCAGTGCTTAAGTCAGGGTCTCGAAATCAAGGCAAAGGTCTTAGCCCACACTGGAAGGTTCCTCAAGCGTCTCTTTTATCATCGCATCGAAAGTCTCTGTGGTGTAAGATTAGTCATAGTTATTGATAAAAATCTTCTCCTTATTTATAATGCATGCCTCGAGTGCTTTTAGAGAATCTTTAAACGACTTGTTCATGCATTCTTCTTCTCTTATTCCCATTCAATTTCTGAGTAGATTATTTCCTCTTTTTACAATAAACCATTTTTAGATAGCGATGTTTTTACCACAATTAACATTCTAACAAAGTCCTTTGAATTCCCAGATACTATGCATCCTTCGTAAATATACAAAAAATAGAAGGAAAATGATAAAAATTACAAATATCTTGGCTATCAAAAATAGTTTTTTAAAGTAATTTTATGAACTAAATACTTAATTTTTATGTATTTTCTTTATTACTTTAGGAAAGAATTGGGATTGGATGAGAACGAATGAAAAGTAGCAATAAATGATTAAAAATGAGTAAAATAGGATGTGTTTTGAAAGTTGGCGACCAAGGAGTCACATTTGGTAGTTGAAGGACCTTAATTGCAATTTAAAGACCCAATTTGAATTAAAAGAGGAAACTGAGACCAAATTACACCAAGGGTGTGTTTGAGCCACATTATTTTGGAAGAATGTATTCTGGAATAGTGGATTGATGGAGAATGTGTGGTTGAAAAAGAAAAAAAAAGTTATTGATGTGATGTAAAATATTATTTTATTGAAAAATGTGTGGTTGAAAATAAGTAAAAAAATGAGAATGAAAAAAATAATGTGGATCTAACGTGGGCCAAGAAAGATTAATTTCCAGCAATTTAGAAAATCCTAATTTGACCACAATTATGATTCCCTATCCTCTGGGGACTCTATTTTGAATAACGGTACTTGTAGATAATAAATTATATAAAAATTTACATATGGGATGTCAAAAAGAAAGTGGAGAATTTCTTTTATTTGGTTGAAGAAAAGAATGTGGAGAATTTTTTGTGTGTATGTAAATCATTGTGTACATATAGGCCCTATCCGTTTCTGCTAAAAAGCAGAAATCTGTCCGTTGGCCCTGTGATTTTCAGCCCGTTGAGCCGTCATCTTTGACCGTGTGTGTGTATGGTGGGACCCGGTTATTCCATGTAACGGTAGGATAATTGATTTCCAAATTAATAACAGACAGGACCTATATGTGACATGTTATTTACATTCATGCAACTATCTGATTTTTGAAAGAAATAAATTTGATGCCAGATTAGTGAAATTAAAATTGGAAAAACATGATTTCAGGTAATTTTCTCTTTTATTATTGCCTTGTTTTGGTCTTTTGGACTTTTGTAGAGAGAGTCTATGTGTACACAAAAAAACACACAGAATAGCCCGTTGAGCCGTCATCTTTGACCGTGTGCGGGTATGGGGGGACTCGGTTATTCCATGTAAATGTAGGATAATTGATTTCCAAATCAATAACAGACAGGGCCATAGTATACCGCTCCATTTTAGACCTAAATTAAGGTCTATATATATAGACACGTCAAAATACATAAATTTCTCAAGATTTGTACATCAATTTGAGGAATAATTACTTGATTGGTCACTGAACTTTAAAAGTTTCTATATTAGTCACTGAATGATGGATGAAATTACATTTTGTAAAGTTTGGTGACTAACGAAAAAAATTTAGAGTTCAATAACCCCCTAAAAACCTTACGCAAAGTTCAATGACCATTCGGGTAATTAATCAATATTTATTTATTTATTTTCAGTCTTTTTCTTTCTTTTTTTCTTTTTTATGTACTACTACCCCCACAATTTTATTCTTTCTATTATCGCCAAATTTAGGAAAAAAAAAAGAATAGCTTTTTATATCGAGGATAACCAACAAAGTTGTTTACTGACCTCTCTAAAATCAAATAAAGAAAAACTAAAGAATATATAAAAGATTGATAATTTACTTGATTAGTCACTAAATTTTGCGCAAGGTTTCCAAGGGGTTACTAAATTTTGAAAGTTTCCCCATTAGTCACCGAACTCTACAAAATATAATTTCATCCATCATTGAGTGATGTATGAAATTACATTTTATAAAGTTCATGGACTAATGAGAAAAGTTTTGAAATTCAGTGATCTCTTAGAAAACTTTATGTAAAGTTCAGCAACCAATCAAGTAAGTATCCCATCAATTTGAGATGTAAAGATTGAAAAATACAATTGATCGGGAAAATTTATAATCAATCAAGGAAGAATTGAAGATGTTTGTTGGGATTTGGGTACCAAGAACAACAATAGCTTGAATTAACTCTTTAATCATTCTATTGAACCTAATGATATTTTTCAACTTTTTTATTTAATTTTAAAAATATGATTGGCTAACTTTCTTATTGTCATGATGAATGACGGAGCTTGTGTTAATATTTATTTAATTCACTAGATTTCATGACAATTTGATTATGTATTAGTCGCTTATTGTACGCCAAATTGACACCCAATTACTTGATCACCAATTGCATGTTTTAAGGATGATATTGAGATCGAGATGAGATATATTTATCTAATTCATGTAATAAGCATATGTTTGGTCCCTATTTTTTTTCAAAAACTCATTTTTTTAAAAAAACTCATTTTCAACCGCACAATCTCCCATACAATTTTACACGTAAATGGAAAAAAAAAATCTTATATTTTAACCATACATTCTCCAAAAAATTACTATTTCAAAATACATTTTTTTAACCAAAATGAGGCTCAAACATGGCTAAGTACTATAAGTTTTGATAAGTAATCGAGATATATTTTTATAGCTTATGCAATCATAATTGAATTACTATAATTGAATTTTTTTCATGTGTATGAATTTATATAGAAATGTAGTAAATTTAGGTATATGAATAGGGTTCATTTTGCTTAAGAAAGATTGCTAACTAAAATTGATTAATTTGATTGTTAATCCATAAAGAGGTTGAATGAAATTGGATTGGATGAATGTTAAGTAATCTTAGCAAAATCGAAATTGCTAACCACTAAATCCCAAAAATCCTTCACAAGCTCATTAAATTAGATTAAATTAGGATGTGTTTGAGCCCCATTTTTTTTTGTTGAAAATAAGTTTTGTGACGGTAAATTCTTGGAGAATGTGTGATTAAAAAGTAAGAAAAAAAATTTAATTTACATACGACATATTTTATTCCAAAAATATATGCTTGAAAACAAATTTAAGAAAAAAATGAGTTTTANATTAGATTAAATTAGGATGTGTTTGAGCCCCATTTTTTTTTGTTGAAAATAAGTTTTGTGACGGTAAATTCTTGGAGAATGTGTGATTAAAAAGTAAGAAAAAAAATTTAATTTACATACGACATATTTTATTCCAAAAATATATGCTTGAAAACAAATTTAAGAAAAAAATGAGTTTTAAAATAATAGTGATCGGACGGAGTCTTAGTACAATTTAGTTCGACGCATAAACACTTAAATTTGATAATTGGTTACAAAATAAATTTAAATTGAAACTAGGTTAAAATAAATTAGTTGTAAATACTGTCTCTATGGGTACAATACTTGAATTCAAAATCCACTTTATTATTTGTTAAGATCAATACACTCGCAAAATCAATCAAGTTTTTAACAACGTTGTCAAGACATAATTTATTTTAATTTTTGTTTTGTTAATTCTAATTTTGATTCAATTTTTTGTTTTTGTTTTGAAGTTGGTCTACTTATTTTTCTTGATTTTATTGATGGGACTAAAGGAAGCAATAGCTCAACAACATGAGATGGACGATCTTGAAATTGATAAAGACGACATGCATGGATTTCTCCTTCCTAACACGCTTTAAAATGAAGGGATGTGATGTGCTTTTCAAAGTTGACAAGGATGATTTGCCTTTGGGAAGACTGCGATTTTCAAGTACAAAATGCAAACTAAGTTGACGATGATGATTTGCCATTGGAATTACTATGGACATTACCGGAATATCAAGTACATTACAAACCGTATGAACAAACACGCAATACAAGTTAGGAGTGACATACAAATTTTGATTGGCCGAAAGGTCAAATTATTTAAAATCCCAATAATCCTTAGCAAGAAAGAGAATGAAAATTTCCTTGTGCAAATGCTTGAAATTTCGAGTATTAAATTGATCATTCAATTTGAAGAACCAACAATAAAAGAAGAGCATGAAGAGACTGAAAAAAGTAATTTTGACAGGCTAAAAACAATTAGTAGCATTCAAAGAAGATGTAATTAACATGCAATCCTTCGACTTTATTATTTTGCTCAAAATTGACTTTATGATTAAACCTTGTGAGGAGATTGAAGTATACATTGTTGAGTTTGAATAGAGGGATGAAGGCAAGTCTTACTAATTGGAGAAAGGCAAGATAAAAGTTTGAAGAACTACATAATTTGCTTAAGCAAGTTGAGCAAGGCAAAGCCATATTCAAAGTATCTTGAAGCACTTGTACCAAAACCTAACTTAGGACTATAAACGAGAACTTGGTGAAAAATAACCCACTTAAGAATTTTCTCATGTTTTGAAAGGGAAAAAAAAATACCGGAGTTGACTACAATCAACCGTGGTTTTAAAACCTGCGGTTGAGCCAAAGGCAATGTTTGCCACGATCAACAAGTCTTCTAAGTTCTACCCCATATTTGATAATTTTACATTCTCCACATCATTTCAATGAATTTTACCTTTTGAGATGGAAAAGTTCCCATTGCTTAAAGCGAGTAGAACCTACATGGAAATTAAAAAAAAAAACTAAACTAGCACATATATTAACATAATATTCCAGTCAACTAAAGATAATATCAATAGAATTTATTTTGGCTTCAATGTGCTAACGAAGCATAATCTTCTTATGTTTTACCTTTGATGTCAGCCTTCTTCATATTCTTGAGAGAATCAAACAAAGATGTAATTTCTTGCTTGCTTGAAGACTTTGCAAAAGGATTAGATGGGCGATTAAATGTCACTTGATCTACAGCCTTGATCTTCTTTGTCTCTTCGACAGTCTTTACTTCCTTAGCATTCTTCAATTTGCTCTTTACATCAACAGCCTTTTCTAATTTTGTTGTTCGAGTTTCTTCAAGTTTTTCATCTTTATATTCAATCGGTTCCTCAACAATCCCATTTTTTGTAAAGAAAGAGGAGGTTGAGAACGCTTGTGTTTGAGATGAAGCTTTATTTGATGTTTTACTACATTCTGGTGCAGTAAAAGACTTGTCAATGGCATTAGCAGTTTTCGTGATGCCATCAGAGCGGGAGGTCATTTGAGGGAGGGCTGTTTTTCCGTCAGTTTCACTAGACAACCTTTCCTGTAAGAAATGAAAATGAAAACCATCAGAACTTAAAAACAAGAAAAAAAGATTGAACGAATTAAATTAACCGTCATATAACTTCACCTCCAATATGTCATTGAAGCGCTCCGCCAAATTTGGTAGTTTCAGTGCTGTTACAAGCTTTATAGCTCCTTTGACTGATTTTTCTAGTGAAAGAAGTTTTACTAGTTCGGTGGCTCTCACAAGCTTGTCACCTTTGAAAATTTCAAGAAGATGAGCATAATTAGTTGTCCACCATTTCATCATGCCAGAGAAAAGAAATGAACATAGGAAATCTGTCCAGTTGTCGTAAAAAGACTAACCATTGCAGCAAGATGCAATGAGCCTCAAGATGCATCTGTCTAGAGAAGCTTCCAAGTTGAAAGCCATGTCTTCAAGTGAGCTGTTGTAATGACCAGCAGCTACCATTTCTTCTATTCTTTTCTGAATCTGCAATTAAGGATTGAGTCAGGCTTGATTGATTTAGATACCATATTCCTTCCCTTTATTTTATGTGTTTATTATATACACGTCTACGTGTTTTGTCAAGCAATGATGGTAAAACATATCACTCTCATTATTTTGCTTGGATGTATTTATCAAAAATATTCAACATTCTAATTCAGCAAGGGAGGACATGCAAAGTATCCGCCAATGTCATAAATGCCAAAGGGACAGAAAAATGGAAAAAAGCATAATTTATCTATTCCCAGGATATCATCAGATGCCTTCACCATTGTCTGATTATTCTAACATGTATGGTTTTAGCAAATAACTGAATCGACAGAATTATGTAAATTACCCGGCACAGATGCATGTTGTCCATCATAAATTCATTCTCAAGGCTATCCGCTCCAAGATCAGATGAAGCAAGAGGGAAGGAAAGGTCAAGCAAGGTGAGGACAGGCTTGGAAGTTGCCTGCGAAAGCCGTTAATTAAGGAAACATGAGTATGTAGTTTATGTAACAGTGCAGCAAGAACATCCATGAAGAGTGAATATACCTGTGGGAAGGATTCAGGAGACTTGCAAACAATGCAAAATAACTTGTTTGCATTCAGTCCAACAACCCAATAGTTCTCACCTGCCTTGTTTAGCTTACTGGAACTGAAAACCAACAAGTTTTAGATAGCTAATCTGTGTTCTTCTACTGAAATACTGCAAAAATTATGGCCCTTGTAGTACCTGAAGAGTGGCATCCAACTACCTCCAAATTGATTTGTGAAGACCCTCAAGACCCCCTACATAAATTCAGTTCCATAGCATAAACTTGCATCAGCTATCTGTCAATTTATTACACGTGCAGACACATATATAGAATGTCATTTCTGTCAGAGATGGTGCACCTTAGAATCGAAAGAACTTAGTAAGCCTTCCTCGCTGAAACCGAACCATGTCAAACATGAACCAGGAGTCAGAGGTAGCCGTCCTCTAAGAGATTGAGTCCCATTATGGATGTTGAACACTCTAAACTCAAGCATCTACAAGGGGAAAAGATTTAAATTTATTGTATGATCTAAACTGCCCATCAATGATTTACTACATAAAATGTCATCTGGTGACCTCTTTGTTATGTAACGTGGAAAATATATTCATTCTAGAGTTATATAATAAGATACAGCTGAAATTACCTATAGTCTTACACAAGCATACTTAGGGACCAAATGTTTGAAAATAAGATTGCTCAGAACTTCAAAAAAATACTTTGAAAAAGAAAAAAATGAACGATATTCTTGTCACTGACTTTGTTAATCCAGTTGTGTCTAATTTATGGTTGATTTATTGACATAATTTATTATTAATATAATTTAGATAGAAGATCATAGAAGGTAAATTCTAACAATACCTGATCATCCGAGGGAAGAGAAGGAGAAGCATGAGTGACAACTGCAAGTTCATTCTTGACGCCTACTGCAGTAACCACCGGCCCATCAAGGGAGAGAATGTACCTCTTTGATATATGAATTGACAAATTAGATTATATAAGTGAAAAGCATTTACATACTAGTACTAATGATAATAAAAAGTATGAGCTATGATACACCGACACGACCACGTGTATCCGACATGACGCGTTGGATACATTGATACTTGATTTTTGAAAAAAAAATATTGACATGACACATCGACATGTTAATTAAATTTTTAAAATTCTTCATTTATATAGATTATTAACTTTTTTGTTGAAATCCATATTTATTATTTACTAATAATTTTAAATTGAAAATATATAATATTTCTAATAAAAAAAGAAAATAATCATAGTAGAGTATCCGAAGAGTGTCAGTATCCGACATGAGTCCGACACGTGTCGGACGCGAACACATTACCGTGCAACATGACACCTTACCCTAGTTGAAGTGCCCGTGCAACAAAGAGCATGAGTATCAGTTTTTGGATAAATCTGTTAATTAAGTTATTAGTTTAAATGTTTAATTTTACAAACCTGCAAGCCACCCTCAGTGAAGATGCGAAGAAAATGATGGCTTGTAACAGCAGCAATCCAACCACTGCCAAGTGCTAATGCTCTAACTTCTTCGTCTTCAAAACGCATAGACCACTACGTTTTCATGAGGAAACCAATATTAGCCATTAACTAAATACTTTTCATCAGCAGGGTGATTAAATGCATATTTGAGGTGGTGGTTTTCAGAGATACCAATGCATAACATAAAAGATGAAGAGTGCTGACCTCACTGTTATTTGCCCAGGTACTGAACGGGCAATACATGAGTGTGCTCATATTTTTCTCACCCTTGCCTGGATTGGCAAATACACTTCCATTCTCATTTAAAGCAGCCATTGTGAAACCAAAATAATCAGTCATGGCAGGAATTCGTGGACCAGTACTCGTATCATGAAAATCTGTCTGCATTTGAGTCATGCATCATAATTTGTCAGCAGCTCATAGTAAATGCACCGACACGGATATATGTGTCAGACACGAGGTGTGTCGGATATGCCGACAAGTGATTTTTCAAAAAAGTGCTGACACAACAACACGTTGATTAAATTCTTTAAAATTCTTCATTTATATAGAGCCTTTTTGTTTGCCATTTTCTACCTCATTTTTAGAAGAAATGTTATCGTTTCTGAGCCCCACTTCGCCCTTTTTTTTTACTTCTATCTCACAACTTTCATTTTGCAACGGCTATATTTCTTCTAATGATGAGCAAAAAAATGACGGCCAAACGCCATCATAATATTAATTTAGTTTTATATTGATTATTAATTTTTCTTGTTGAGTCTTTTAAATATGAGTACTTATTTGTAATTAACTAATAACTTTAAGTTAAAAATGTACAATATTTTTAATAAAAATGAAAAATGTTTATGGTAGAATATCCGATTGTCGATATCGACACGTGTTAAACACAGACACGCTACCCTAATTGAAGTGTATGCGCTACAGAGAATATCACAATAATGCAAGTCAGATGCCCCAATTTCTTCATTGTTTATCAGACTTTAGGTAAACAAATAAATGGCAAAATGAAGATTGGAACCAAGTGCTTGAATTTTATTCATACATTTTGTTCGCTATAATGAAAGTGAGGTGCTAACTAGGAGAATAGTTTGGTCAGATATTATCGAAACACCTCCTAAAATGAACTTAACAATTATATACTCATTAAATTTTAAAATATTTTTTGTCCCTTCGGTTATTAATAGCAAACTATGATTTTCAAGAAATGAGCAATTCAATTCAAAAGACTATTTTTAAGAGAGAAGCAGTTAAAAAATCACGAGGAAGAAAATACGGTATACCTCTATATGGGAGTACCCATCATGCACCATTGTGGTTATACTTCCAAGCATATTGTAGCAGAGAAAGTGCCTCTTTCCAGGTTGAGCAGGAGTAGCTCCAGGTTGAAAAGCTTCTTGCATTTTTGGCCCTGCAGTTGCGATTGTGTTTTTTACTCCGTTCTTTACATTATAAAGGTCATTTTTGTGACCATTTGAAGGCTTTTTACGAGATTCAACCTTCCTTGTAGATTCCAACTCATCGGTAACGTCTTCTTCCCAATCATTATCATATATAGACTGTTTACGTAATCTTTTTCTGCTAGGTGGCTCTGATTCACCATGGCTGTCTTCATTGAGATCTCCCAAACTACCTGATGAACCAGGTTCTTCTTCATTGTCAAACAAGACAAAGCCACTTGAACGTAAACTAGGAATATCCTCTGTTGGAGATCTCATTGAGGACGGCACCGCCGATTCCCATAAGCCATACTTTCCTATAACATCAATAACTGCCAATGCATTGCCATGAGGCTTCCATGACATACAAGAAATGCAATCATTAAATTTCTGCCTCTCAATATCCTGCTTCTTATCAACATCCCATATAAGAACCTGCCTGTCCACACTAGATGTAGCCATATATTTACCATTAGGTGACCAAGACAAGAAGCAAATAGGTTCCGAATGATCACCTCTAAGAGAAAATAGCTTTTCAGCAGTGTCTCTATCATACATCACCACATCATTTTTCAAACCTGGAACGGCTAACATCTCTCCATCAGGACTCCACCCAAGTATGTTCATAACCGAAATATCAGATCCATTGTTAGGAGCTAGGCCTTTGAGGACATGAATTGTATTTCCAGATTGAAGTTCCCAGAAAATAATGGTTCCAACGGAATCAAGTGAAGCCAAATATTCACCTTTAGGATCAAAAGCTAAGCTCGTGACAGATCCTTTATGTCCTTTTAGAACTCTTGCAATTGTTCCATCAACTGTGTTAACAAGTTTAATGCCCTCATCATCGCCAGCAGCTGCCAACATGGTGCCAGATTTGTTAAAAGAAAGGGCACGAAGTGGCAATGTAAATCTGGTGATATTGGTCTCAAAATCTCCCCCTGACAAAACGGATGATATGGAAAAGTAAATTAGTAAAGGCTCAAATAACCCATATGTCAACTGCAAAACAATTATCTGGCCATGAATAAACCCCAAATGAACGCATAAATGTGGCATGAAATTTAAGGAGATGCATTTCCTAATATTACGGTAAAAATTAATAGTCACTTTGCAGCTTGTCAGGCTGTTTAACACTCCTAATAGTCTAGGGGTCCCAAATAAGTTTACACAAACAAATCAATTTTATTACAATTTCTGAAATTAAATCAAAGCCATCATTTGGTATCCTAATTGTGGAGCTCAGAAGCTTTTGCAATTGTTTTTGGTGTATCCTAATTGCATAATATCAATTTTCTCCAGTCCATGTAATCTTTATTTCCTCTTTTCCGTGATTTTGAACTTTAATGGGCGCAAATTTGAGCTTAGATTCAAACCCAAATAAAACTGCATCGGGGAAAAATTCAGAACACACGACGAAGAAAAGCCCACAAAATATTTGCGTACTTGTCATAAAATAAAACAAACAAATATCAACAAATGTGCCAAGAAGTTTAAGGGGGTGAATTCCTAATACTATGGCAACGAATCAATAGAAATTTTGCTGCTTTTCCACGAGCAGAAGAACCCATGATGAAGACGTAAACGTACACAAACAAATTAAAATCATTTCCTTAAACAGGGGTGGATACTAATTTTAAAACTCCTGCTAGTCTAAGAACCCCAAATAATTTTACACAAACAAATCAATTTTATTACAATTTCTGAAATTCAATCAAAGTTTGGTATACCGATATTGCATAATATCAGTTTTCTCTGTTCCACGGTATCTTTATTTTCCTCTTTCCTTCGATTTTGAGCTTTAAAATACGCAAATCGAGATTAAATTCAACCCCCCAAAATCTACATCGTGGAAAAATTCAGAAAAATAAAACGACAAAAAGCCCAAAAAACAGTTTTTCAAAAAACGAAACACAAAAATTCTAACATAAAAATTACCAGGGAATTTGTAGAGCTTGACGGAATGGTCAACAGATCCAGAAGCAAGGCAGGTGGAATTAGGGCTAATTGCCAAGGCAGTGACACCTTCTCGGTGATTCCGAAGAATTTTAGGAGCGTTCGAAGGCAAAAGGGCATCGTGAATACAGATTGAATTATCGGAGGATGAAGCCGTGACAATATGCTGACCACTATGGTCCCATAAAATGGAACAAAAAGAGCTCTCTCCATTTTCGCTCTTGTGAACTTCTCGGAGCTTAATTGTTCGGATCTTCATTGAGGAGTAGAAATTTTCTCGGAAACAAAACAGATTGATAAGAGAAATACAAGTAAAGAATGTATAAAATTGAAGGTTTTGACTATGGCGGGAGATGCATTTGAGGGTTTGAAGATTTGGCGGGAGCTGATTTTCAACATTAGAAGGTTTTGCCGGGTGGTTTTGGATATCGATGCATTTGAGGGTTTGAAGATTTGGCGGGAGCTGATTTTCAACATTAATAGGTTTTGCCGGGTGGTTTTGGATATCTAGCGGTGTCAACGAGTCGAGCCAAGCTTGAGCTTTTTTGGACCGAGCTTTTTTCGACCCGAGTCGAGTGAAGCCTAGCCCGACCAAAAAAAAATGAGGCTCCGCCCGAGCTTTTGGCCCGAGCCGAGCCCCGGCTTAGCCGACTCGATTTTTTTGATTTTTGATTTTTTCTTTTCTTAGCTGCTTTTGCAAGCAGCTAAAAATAGCTGCCTGCAGGCAGCTTGCTCTTGTTGCCTGCAGGCAGCAAGGCAGGCAGGCAGAATGCTGCCTTCAAAAAAAAAAAATTTTTTTTTTGTTTAATATTGGCTCACCCAAGCCACGGGCCGTCCCAGGCTCGAGCCGACTCCCCAAAGTGGGGCTCGGCCCTAACCGGGCTTTTTCCGAGCCTCCGAGCTTTTTTGCCACCGCTGTGGATATCACGAGCAAGGAGGCGTTCGCCATCATAATTGTCCTAGACATATATTCGACGGTTAGTAATTTAATGTAGTAATATAGCACTTGTCTGGACGTGCTATAAAGTTAATTAAAATTATAAATGTTACCGTTAACAAGTAAATTAGCATTTGTTTATGAATTTAAATTTCAAACTTTGCATGACGGTGGCAAACCACTTTTCAGTATAGAGCAGGCCGCAATTACCACAATTGCCCCTCAAACAACACATTCATCTCCCCATTAATTGAAGTCCTACCTACCACACTTGTACCAGCAACACTATATTCCCCAAATTGTTTGTCTTCATTTTTGCCGTCTAAAGAACAAAATTAGCAGCGACAATGAAAAATTGAACGTCACCAGACGATTTAGGGAAACTCCGTGAAGGTGAATTCCAAAGTAACCATAGCCGGAGACCATATTGAAAAGGCCAACACCTACGGTTCGAGAACACTCCCGTCGTTGTCAATCACCTGTTTGCAAATACAAAGCTGCACTTGTACTTCATCAGTCGTCTGTGCATATGGACCCATTCTCCTCTCCGGTAGGTGTATAACATGTCATTTGTATATATGTAAAATATACTTCTAGTAATATTCATTCAACGAAATGAGTCCTCTACTTCAAAAAAAACTTTCTGCCTAATGGTTGTTTCTCATCAGTCAATGTTCGAACACACACACACTGCACACAAATATGACTATGAGGCTGAGGGTTTTTTATATATCTGTTGTGTTGCCGTAGACTGGTTACCCTCCGCAAGCGGCCACCTCCAACCCGGTTCTTGCGAAGACCCAAATACCTTCCCGAAAGAATGCGCAATGGAACTTATTCGAGAACAAGGTTTTCATTTCTGTGTGCAAGTCAGTCATCATAGAAGGTTACTGAAACGGGAAGTGCTTCACGAAACACAGTTGGGAAAACAATTATTCACTTGTTCAATTTGAACACCATACTTGGACCAAGCAGCAGCTTAAAAATCGTTGGGATGCTCTTCGTCTGAAACACAAGAGATTGGAGGAATAACTTAATTGCAATGGTATATAATACAACCCTGTTACGAATAGAATTGTGGCGTTCGAGGAGTGGTGGGGTCAAAAGATCAAGGTACAATGGTTTCGATTTCTGACCAATTGAATTCATTGTCAACTATTATCTCGCTCTAGAAATTGTGTTTTGATGCTTCGTGCATGTGATCCTCAACATAGGTTTATGTAGTGTTTACATTAATCTTAGATGTGGGCCAGGGGCGGATCCAGGGGTGGGCTGCACTGAGCTAGCCCAGATGTATTAAAAATTAATGTTAAATGGTTGTAGCCCACTGTTTAGCCCAGTAGTCATTAGCCCAGTAGCCCAATTGAAAACCCATTAACCCAATTAATTCCCAATGACCCAATTCTTCGGCATTTCCCAAATCCTTTCACTCCGGTTTGAGCAGCAGTAGAGCAGTCACTTTCAACCAAAACTTTTCAGTCCTCCGTTCGGCAAAGTAGCGAACAGGAACGGCCGAAGTCTTCTTCTTCAGCCAGTCAGGTCAGCAGAATCAGGCTTCAATATTCGATTTCGAACCTATAAGTTCTTCTCTTCACCGCTTCTGCCTTCAGGCTTCAAATGTGAGACAACGGAGACTTCGGTAGTTCGGCTTCTTCAACAATCAGCAGGTACTTTTATTTTCAAGTACAACACTTTTATTTTATGATTTTCATTTATGATTTATGAATGATTTTCTTGGGGATAAAAGTTGGGGATAAATTGGGAATGGTTATGAATGATTTATAAATTAGGGATAAAAGTTTGGGATATGTTGGGGATTAATTGGGATTCACAGCATCGATTTATGATTGATTTTATCCAATTTAATTATTTTTATTTAACTGTGAATTTGTGATTGAGTGAAAATTGGGGATAAAAGTTGTGACAGTCATTTGCAGATTACTCATTTAGCTTTGAATCCTGTGATTTTTATTTATTCACATGTGATGTGATGCTGTGGATTGTGATGATAGACATTTGAATTTGTGAATTGTTAAGAATAGGCCATTAAAGATTGTGCTAAATTTTCTAGTTTTGTCTTCGCGAAGAACTGAAGATGCTTGAAGGGCGTATTAAAGATTGTGCTAAATTAGGAATTTATCAATAGGATATTAAAGTATTTTGATATTTATGCTTTTAGGTTTAATATGGAAGAATATCGACCTTCTTCCAAGAAAGGAAGAACGTTGTTATCTTTCTTTTCAAAGAGTAACAAATATCAGGGTACTTCAATTCCTACGGTGTCCACTCCAAATCCAATTTTATCTCCTGAAGTTGAATAGCCTTTATCTTCTAATCTTAATTTGGAACCATCTTATTCTATTGAACGGGACCCGGGAAAAAGAAAGCAAATATCTGAACATTCATTTAATGAAAGCGATCAGATTAGGCGAGCCTATGTAAATGTTGGACCCTATCAACCAAAATTTTTGGATTATCAAAGTAAAGAATGTGGAAAGCAGAAACGTCAATTTCAGGAGCGTTGGTATAATCAGTTTCCTTAGTTGGAATATTCACCTTCAACACATAAGGCATATTGTTTTTATTGCTTC